TGTCAATCTACTATAAGGTTGATGTAGTTGAGAGTTATTTCTGGTAAAATGTTCATGGATTTGCTCATTTCTAGGAATAATTAAAATATTATTTTTTATATATAGAGTTTGGTAGATATACAAACTAGGCATATTATGAATGTTAGCCTATATAATAAAAAATGATCTTTATTTTACGTGGCGGAGTTTAGCAAAGCCCCATTCTTCCACTCAACCACGTTTGAAAAAAAAAGAAACGTTACAAAAAATAAATGGCAATTTCAGGACAATAGTAAAATGAAATACAAATGTTTATGTTTGGATAACTATTGGCTGAGCAATTCAGTTTTAAATTTACTTTTGAATAGCGGTAGTAATGAATTTTTCAAAGATTCACTGAATACATTGTTACAGCATGATACGTGAAGGATCGTTCATAGATAGTGCTGTAATGATTTGGAATGTCAAAATTATTGTTAAATCTAAGGTTTCTTGAGTGTATCTGATGTCTGAGAAGGAGTTTATTTACCAAATAAGCGGATTGTTGTTTTTTTATCAGTTTGTGAATGAAACAGGCGAAATGCAATCCTCTTCTGTTTTGCATTTTTAACCAATTTAGTTGATATACAGAGTGTTTCCTAACTACTGTACGAAACTTCAGAGGGTGATTCGTTATGTCGTTAAAAAAAAAGGTTTCATGAACATATATCCGGAGTTGCTTCGTTTCAGAGATAATGGGCGTTGGTGTTTAAAAAAAACGGTAGGTATTTATAAAATATCATGAATATCCTCACACCGATTTGATTGAAATTGCTACAGTTATTTGAAGAAATAAGGCGCTTATTTTGCCCGAACTAGATTGAAATAGTAGGTCCAGTGGCGTCTCAGTGGGCACAACAGTCAACAATAATTCAAAAAAAAAAGAACGCCACTGACTTTTGTGTGGTTTTAAATTTTTTTAAATCAAGAAACTGAAAATACACTTTTTTCCTCGTTGTGTTTTTTCATATCAAGCTTCGTTTTCGAGAAGAAAAATTATATTCACTCATAAAACTGCACAAAAAGAGTTATGCAATTAGACCAGTGGTTTACTTTGTCACTGCACTATCAGTGAAATTATCAGAAAGGCTAATCAATATCATCTTAAACCATTGTAACTTCCAACCAAAATTTAGTCTACGGAACTCATATGACTTAATCAATAAAATAGAGAACATACCTCTACTAGACAACGCAAAATTAGTATCCTTTGATGTGCAGAATCAATTTCCCAGCATACCTCCTAATGATACTATTACTTTAGTAATAGAATTATTAGGTAAAAATAGAGTGAACCCAATCATAAAACGAGAAATAATTGACCTTCTGTCATTATGTCTCAACCAAAATTACTTTCAATTCAACAACAATATTTATTCCTCCTCAAAAGGTTTAATTATGGGAAATCCATTAAGCCTCTTACTTGCAGAAATTTTCATGGATAATCTAGAGAAGTCTATCTTTAAACATCCTTTGATTAAGAATTTCTTGTATTGGCATAGATATGTGGATGACGTTTTGCTATGTTTTACAGGTACTAAGAGGCAATTAGATACTTTTCATAGGGATATTAACAAAATTCATGAAAACATTAAATTCAGTATTGAAATAGAAACAAACAACTCAATCAATTTTTTTGACCTAACAATTAGTAGAATGAACAACAAACATTATGTTTCAGTTTATCACAAACCGTCCTATACGGATATTACGATACATCCGTATCAACACAAAGTAGCAGCTTATAATAGCATGATTCACAGATTAGTCAATGTTCCTCTTATAATAGATAATTTTGATAACGAACTCAATATCGTCAGGCAAATTGCGGTAAACAATGGGTTTAAAGCCGAATTAATAAACAAAATACTTGCCAAGAAAGTCTGCACAAAAGCGATTCAGACGTTTTTTCCATTGATAAGGTAGATAATCAAAATTATAGAGCTTTAACCTACTTTGGACAACCAATGGAAAAAGTGGCTTCATTTTTGAGGAATCGAGATATTAAAATTGCATATAGAACAAGTAATACGTTGGGAAAGCTAGTTAAAAATAATAAGGATAAAACATCCAAATTCGAGAAATCAGGAGTATATAAATTAAAGTGTGGAACGTGCCCCAAGGTATATATTGGTCAAACTGGAAAGAAATTTAGGAATCGAATACAGGAACATCATAAAAGCTATGTAAATAAAAAAACAAATTCAACACATTCAAATCATCTTCTAGAAGAAAATCACATCTTAAATGAAGAGTTCGAAATTTTGCACATTGAAAATAAAGGTTTGAAACTGAATCATTTGGAAGCAATGGAAATTAATAAACTCAAAAATTTAAACATTCTAATGAATGGCCAACTAGATTTGAATAGATCACTATTATTGAACTTGTTTTCTTAAAAACCGAGAAAGAATTATTATTGATGTAGATGTGAGGCAATATGCTTTAGGTAATCATAATTGAGCAGGTACGAGATGTAGAGGTTCAGGTAATTTCTAACAGGTAGTCTCAATTATGGTTACCTGTAGTATATAAATATGAATGTATGGATAATTTGATGTATTAATCACTTGAAAAAGCTAATGTTTAGCAAAACATGATATGATATATTTTTTCAATAAAATTTGTGGAGATCAAATCGTTTAGGTGTATTTTTTGAAATTACTATGGATCTTCATCAAATAACGGCCGAATTAATCAGAAAAAAAATCACTTCTAAAAACTATCCATGGACAATATACAGTGCATTCCTTCCTTTATTTTTTGAACGGGTCAACTCAAAAAATTGAAATTTGGGATAGTGAAATTAATGCATGAATACTTAATTTTGAACTGAAATTAAGAAATGAAACTTTCAAGATGGCGACTGGGCGCCATCTGGGAAAAAAAATTAAATGGAACCACCCTCTAAAGTTTCTTACCGTAGTTAGGAAACACCCTAGCTGTATTTTATCAATGAATTTCAAAAAAGGGGATAAAAATCCACTGTACTGGATTGCGACTGGCCTTGGGGGCCTACCGGACTAGTCCGCTTAAATCATTGTGTTGTGAAGCAGAGATACCGCCACTTAAATAAAGAAGAAACCAACTTTTAGCAGCATACGGGATTAGAATTTGTTCCCCCTAATTTTCCATGTATGTTTATAGAGGAAGACGAATCCATTTACGCAAGACGTCCTACTATTTTCTGCCCAACCGGTGAACGACTGAAAGAGCTGTTGTCCTCAATGGATACCCGTTTTCCAGATACATACAAGCTAGGTTTCTGCGAGTCTCCCCCGTGGAAAATGAAACCGATTGAAAGCAACTTAAATTGTTCTGTATTCAACAAAGAGGAAATCTACCCAGCGGTGATCAGGGCTGAATTCAAAAGAATAATTGAAACATACCCGAGTAGCCATATAGTGTACACGGATGGATCGAAGACTGAGCAAGGAACTGGAAGTGCTTTCGCATGTTTGGGATCAACCCACTTCTGGACTTTACAGAATCAAGCGAGTGTTTTCACAGCAGAACTTCATGCAATCTAGCAAGCATTACTATACATGGACTTATGTAGTTTTCATTCATACATCCTTTGCACAGACTCGCTGAGTTCTATTCAAGCAATTGAAAACTCTTTCAGTAAACATCCACTGGTTCAAAGAATCTTAACACTGATGAGTTGTCTCCAGTCCAAAGGAAAATTGATCGTATTTGTTTGGGTTCCTAGTCATATAGGAATTGACGGTAATGAGAAAGCTGACACTGCAGCAAGAGCTGCAACTGAGAATAATGTCGATCTGAATATACCTGTGAGTCCAAATGACACAAAAAAATTCATAAAAACTCAATACTCAACACATAGCAACACGAATGGACAAACAAAGATTAAAAATTGAAAGATATCAAAGCTGATATTGCAGCCATGAGACTTCCACAAGGGCTAACGAGAAGAGAACAAGTCATAAAAACACGACTTAGGATAGGACATACGAACTTAACATCCTCTTATATACTGAGAAGACAAAGACAACCATCCTGCGAAAATTGCCAAACTTTGATGACGGTTAAGAAATGTTTTGAACTTTCTAAAAGCAACAGACCTTTTTAACAAAATATAAACAGGTATCGTATACTACAAAATGGCTAATGACCTCAGCAGTCGATGCCAGAATAATAATTTTAAAAAAATTGATTTGGAAAGTAAACAATATTTGCTCGAAATACTCACTTGAGTTTTGAATCTTCAGTAGTGGTTAGGTCTAGGATTTTGTTGATGATTTTGAAGAATATATCATCTTCAGTAGTCAACCCAACTACCAAGTGTTGAATGACATCCAAGCATTCCAGTTCATAGATTTTGGTGTCATTTTCTTTGGAAGATTGTTCTGCCATCATTTCACCATTATTCATGGATCCATTTGATGGAGTAGATACATGTTTCTTACTTGTTACGATATCAGAATCATGAACGGAAGTGGAGGATGGATGAATCTTTTCAGTCACTACTTCATTTTGTTTTTCACGTTCGTTAACTAATGTAGAATGATTTTTTTTATGTTTCTCTGCTTGTTGGAACAATCTGTTACGATGCGACAACCATGAGGTACCACTCATTTCCTCGTTAGATTTTGTACCGTTATCATTGCATTTCTAAAAAAAAATAACAAAATTTAATTAAAATGCAATCAAAGGTCCCGTCACGAGTTGCCTTCTCTATCTAAGTAGTAGGCAGATTGAGACCTTAGAGATAACTCGTGTCAGTACCTGGGGAGTAGGCAGATTGAGACCCCGGCGGCAAGTCACATAAATTTCTTGAAAATGGCTACAAAATTGAAGCCGAAACGTCGAACACAAAACTCCAGGCGCGGTTCAACCCGAACAAAACGACAATTCTCACGGACAAAGTATGATCAGCTGTTTTCTCAGGTTTCGCTCCGTGTTCTGTATATTTTATCCTCATGAGGATTATTCTCACAACATTTCGGCAAAGTCCCATTTGTCATCTTCTGGTGATGACTGGAATCTAGTTAAAAAACTTCAGACATCACCATCACCATTTGGTTTAAGAAACCAAAAAAATCCACCCTGTATATACATATATTAGCACAATTTTGCGTTTCGAATTTCTCGGGAGTAGTTCAAAGCTATGTGAGACGTGGGGTCACAATATTTTGCCAGTGGCATATGCAACCCCTACGGCGTGACAGTTCAAACCAATAACAGGAAAAAACTTATTTTGGGCAGTTTACACATGTTTTTCGAATTGTGATGCATTTTTCCAGGCTAAACGATAATTCGTAATCAAATTTAAAGTAGTGATGCTCCTTTCATCCTTTGTTTACATAAAACAGATTCAAGCAATATAAATCAATATAAATAGATAATTCGTCATAGATAAAGTATATCATTTTCACCAATGACCTTATCAGGAAAAGTTCTTGACAGCACTTGATATGAGTTGGCTTGTTATCAGTTATTTTACTAGGAACAGCTTAAATATGATGGATAACCCTATCAAAATTCAGAATTCATAATTTCTTTGTTAGTGTATTTCACTAGGTACAGATTTTTTTATTTTGAAACAAACATTCAAAAATATTATGGGAAACTGAAATGTAGCTCAACTTTGTTGAATAGGGAAAGATACATACCAACTTTCTCATGCCTGGATCCATCACAAATGGTTCTTTGAAGAATTGTAGAAGCTATAATTAATCCAGCCTACAAAAATAACTCAGATTAGATAAGTCGAATTATTACTATCGGAAATAAAATCAATCAGTGTGAGAATTCACCACATGGAGTTCCATAGGGATCAGTTTAGGGACCTTTATCATTTTTCATTTACATTAATTATATTTTATTGTTGAAATTGAAAGACTCAATTAAGCTATTTGCAGTCGACACTAACATCATTTATTGTGCCTGACTTTGATTCTATGAGAGATGAAGTAATTCATGATCTGAATAAAATGTAGGTATTTCTGGTTCCAAATTCGTAAATCAATATTGAATTTTTCAAAATCATCTTATATGTTTATAACTCGAACGTAATCGATTTCCGCCAATCAAATTTGCAAATAATGATATAGGTATACAAAAACAAAACAAAATTTCTCGGATTCTATATTGATGACACTCTTAGTTGGAATAAATATATTGACGAAAAAAAAATTCACCGCTTATCGAAATCATAACGATCACATATATTTGATGAACATATATTATAGTTTCACACCATCTCGATTAAAATGTTGAAGTTCTATGGGGACCTGAAAATACCATAACTGTTAAACAATTTAAAAAACCTCAGAAAAAATCTATCGAATGTATACATAAACTCTCACGCTTAGAACCAACTAAAAATTTATAAACAGAGAAAGTTATTGAATTTGGATTCGAACCATCTGCTCTTAATATTTACTTCTCTCGGAGGATCCAATCCTCTCTACCACAAATCCTTCGACATGTCCATAGGGACAGTCTGGCTTTGTGTAAAACTTTTTCCAAGTGAGCGTTCCAGGTGAGTCATTTATCAAGGACAATACCAAGATATTTCACCTTCGTTCCAAATGGAATGACCACACCATTGAGGGAAAGTGGCGTTAGATCGTCCAGTTTTCTTCTCTTGGTGAAGGGAATCACAGTTTTACTGGGGTTGACAGACTATCCACCAGGAGCGACCACAGAAGGGGATATAATACCCCACCTTGAGGGCAGCCCCTGGTGACCCTGAACATGATAGCCTCGCCTTGAATAGTCGTAGTTGCTGTTCTGTTTACTAGCATGGCATAGATCCAGCCGGTTATGGTCGATTCTATATCCTTCCTAGCCAGAGGTGATCCTATACTTTTAGGTAGTGCATTGTCAAATGTTCCTTCAATATCGAGAAATACAGCAACTCCAATCTCCTTGTAGTCAAGGGATTGAGAGGTTTCCTCTCCAAGGTTATTCAATGCTAAATCTGTCTATTTGCCGGTTTGATAGGCATACTGGTGGTTATTCAGGGGGGATGCATATAATGCAACCCTCCTGATGTGACCCTCCAGTATCCTGCCAAGTGCTTTCAACAGGAAGGATGTAAGGCTGATTGGTCGTACCGATTAAGGATGGTCGTACCGATTAAGGGTGGTCGTACCGACCCACTTTAGGTATATATATATACCACCCTTGCTGCCAACCAACTGGGTGGTATATAGTTCCACGCCAGATTAGCTTTATACAATTTTATGAAAATAGTTAAAATTATTTCCAGTCCGTTTTGAAGAAGAGCTGGAAATATACCATCCTCTCCAGGAGATTTGAAGGACTGAAACGACTTGATATCCCATTCAACTGCTGGTTTGTGATAACCTTCTTGACGACCTCCCAAGCGTTCTTTTTTGGCGTTTAGCGACCTCGAAGATGGGAGGTGGGTTGTTATCAAGAGTCAGATTTCCAGGAAAGTGGATTTCTATCAAAAGCTCTAACGTTTCTTTACTGGAGGTCGTGAATGTTCCATCGAGTCGTTTAAGCGACCCAATTTCAGAAGTCGGCTCTAGAAATAATCTTGTGAATTCTTGTGCTGCGAGGTAAATCAGATATACTCTCACTGAACTTCCACCAAGACTTCCGTTTTGCCTTCCTAATTGCCTTGTTGAATGTCGTTAGAGTAGTTTTATAAAGCTCCCAGTTACCTAACTCTTTAGCTTGATTGAATAATCGTCTGTAAGTTAGCCTACGAACTTTTCAGCCCAACTGTTAAATATTTTATATTAGTACAAAGAGTTACAGTACGTTATATACTTGTCCCGTACTGAACCACTTTGGAATTTTGAAATAACAACGAACGAGACGAAATACGTCTCCAATTGAACCCCGTAATTATTTTTATCAGTATGGTCAATATTTCAAAGACATCAAATTTGCTGTAAGACAAAGATTTTCAGGAAACTAGTAACGATACATTGCGAATATAACCATCGTGATACTTTCAAATTATTTGATTTGGTGAAGCATAAATTGCAGAATACGTTTCTATTGTTTTGAATATAGTTATGCTTCTGTCAAACAAATAGAATTTCGAAAGTTATTTTTACTGAACAATTAATAAGTGTTTCCTAACAAAAAAAAATATCAATCTTGGTTTTTTCAGATAATTTTAATTTATGAAATTGGTATGAAAATAAAATGCAATGCTCGTAGGAGAAGTTTCAAAGTATTGATAAGATATGAATATTAGCTGGTTATTCTCATGTATTTTTTTTCAATTGTTTTGATACAGTTTATAAGCGAAAATTCAAGACCTTTTATTTAGAAGCGAGTTTTTGTAATTTTAGTATGAAAGAGTGACAATCATTGAAACTCAATGAAAAATAATGTTTTGTGAAGAAATCAATGTGTAGAAAATACCTCTTTTGACTTTTTACTTCATGTACCAAGAATGATAAATGTATTTGTCCGGCCAAGAATACCTCGATGTTCCATCCATTTGCTCAATAATGTCGTGTTATTATTATATTAGGCTTGTTATATTCTATCAATCTGGGGATGGAAAATAAAAAGCTTCACTAAATTTGGTACTTCCCATTTTCCACAACAGTTTCAATATCCCCTAGCGCAAAAGCATCACCGGTGTCTCGTCAATACCGTAGGAGTGCCGAGGGTGGTAATAAAGCGTTCATAAGGCCGCGTTATGTCGATGAATATATACGCATTTGTTGAATCTGGGGACTGCAAATGTATAAAGATACAAGCTCTTGCTGGCAGGCCCTGCGCCTACTATCAAGATCCTCTTAGGTACTAGAGACAGACTAACCTTTTTTCAGTATTCTATGTCACACTTTTTCAAAGCTAGTGTCTATTACACACATTCCCCGTAATGACAGTTCACGTATAAAACTCGATAGAGTAACTACAACAAGTGCAATTCGCAACCAGTAAAATAGTCCATTTGTATCCAAAAAGTCTTTTGAATATGGTTATGGTTATTTAAGATTATCCATATTTGAATAAATACGCAGGCTATTGCATTTATTTTAATTTAGGTATCCACTATACCATTGACAAATTAAATTAAGATACTTAACTAAAACCACAACCACTACAGGAATCACTGAAGCGCCTTTTTTAAGATATATTCTGTCTATTTCTGTCTACGACTAAAATTCAGTTCTCTCTTTCGGTATCTCATTCATTATATGCACGTCTTTATTGTATTGCAAAATTGATGAATGCATTAGTCGTTATTATCGTATCAGAATATTGTTATTGCTAATTATTCGTTCTTTATCATTACCTACTCATTTTTAAATACCTAGTAGATACAAGCTCCTTAAAATATTGGGGTATTTTCTTTTGAGAGAATATTCTGTTTTGAGGTAACGTTATTTTTTTTCATCTAAATAAAAATAGCTTCGAAGCATCATAAATTACTTACCGATATTTTACTTGATGAAGAAGAATGAATCACGAGAAAATCGCATATATGAATAAATACACTATTAAAAACTCATTTATATATGAGTCGGAGTAGCGATTATGTTTCTTACGCGCTTGGGATTCACCTACAAATTATTCACTCTCAGGGGAAACGTGCAGTAGTGCCAACCCAATAAACTTGTTTGCGCAAGAATGACATCAAAAATTCGCGAAATCTGATCGAAATGCGTGAAACATAAATTTATGGAAAATCAGAAGCATACTTGAAAAGCAACCTTAAAAAACCCTCTGTGTTTGAAATTTTAGAAACAATTCAATGAGAAAAGTAACAGAAACAAATAAATCAAACTATCGTGATAGGTATGTGAGAGATTATTTGATGTTCTCTGGTTTATCAACCGTGGTCTGCAGGAGTACGATAAAACGGTCGAGTAGGCAACGTTAACAGCGATTAAAAGCATTAGACCTGTTTATAACCCATCAGAGTTTAAATAATGTTTATATATGAGTTTATGTAATTTTTTGATTATCCTAGTGAAGATTGTCTTATCATAACCGTTGCGTGGGATGCTGGAAGACCTGGGCGTCAGCTCCCATGCGGTTTTTAATGATGTAAAACATATTGGAAAGGTCAAAAAGCTCGAAAAGTGGGTACTCAACAATTTGAACGGTCGACAAAAATTGTCGAAATATGTTCTTCTTTGCTTTTGCGCAACCAAAATGTTATTTTTTTGGATCGGATTCTCAAGTGTGATGAAAACTGTATCTTCTACAACAGAAGACGTTGAGGACAATGGTTTGACGCCGATAAGCCACCCAGGCACTTCCCGAAGGCGAAAACCTACCAAAAATGCAATGGTTACTATATGGCTATCAGAGGCTTGGGTGATTCACTATAACTTTCTGCAATCGAGCCAAACCATCATAGAAGAGTCATAGCCAGCAGAAGGTCATTGGTGCTTGGAATCATTAAAATACATTTTTGTCTACACGTCATTCTGAATCCAATGATCTATCGGTCATATTGTTAGGACCTTTATGTTTATTCAATACAAGTTTCAACATATGCCTACCCAAGAATTTGCGGTATGAAAACAAATTGATTTTTCAAAATCGCCTAAGTAGCATATCTAACAATCTATAGATATGTATGTAAAATTATTACAATGTGTTAAAACAACGATAAAAATAAAATAAATACAACAATAAAAATTAATTGGCGCTCCGGGGCGACTTCATTGATTCCAGTGGCGCATTTGCTTTTTCAGCTACAGGAAAACCCGGAAAAACCTGCAGCACCACATCATCTGAAGATTTTGATCTAACTCATCAAAATTATGTGAAGGAGGAATAGTTCCAAGTACTGAAGCAGCATTGCCACGTTGAATAGCAATACTAATTCTTTCTATCAAAAAAGAGGTAGAACGATGATCTTTCGTTGCTTGGCCTATTCTCCTTCCGAGTTCATGAACGAATAACAAAGACTCCGGGCCATAAACACCAAAAGTTTCAACCGCTACTGGATAAAACAGATAGTTGTTTTCAAGATTTTGGTATTTTTTCCTTTTCAAGTAGCATATTATACAAAAACATTTCATGACAGTTCTACAGATAAGAATTGATAGCTTTGAGCTACAGTGTATATACGAATAACAAATAAATCCTTCAGATACAATTGGCACAGAATAATAATTATCACTGAATGAAGGAAACTCAGTTTATTCACGAGTGAATATACAAAAAACGAAGGCCACAAAATATTATTGGACATGTTTTAGTGATAAATTTAAGTTTGATACGATTCCTCCCTTCAAATTTTTTCAATACCAATACTACTGAAATGTTCTGAGCATATTTTCTGGTCGGTTTTACGCAATACAACCATCATCAAATATTTCTTCATGCCTGCTGGTATTCTAAAACAAGGCATTTGATATATGATATTGGAAATGTGCATAGATTAACTTTGATTTATACATCATTTTCAAATAATACGTGTAAAACGTTTTCACCTTTGAAATGAAATGTTCAGTGTACCTGTAAGTTTTTTTAAATTTCAATATTTTCAGCAATAAAAGGAGGTTAGAAGCGAAATGAATTAGCAATAGACAAATATATGTGTTGAAATCGGCCAATATTTAATGGAACTCCATAAAATATTCAAAAACCACTTCATCGTGAGGTTTTCATTAAACAGTTTTACAGAAACGCAACACATGTTTCGCTATAAAATAGCTTCTTCAGTGCGTATACCCAGATAACACTGGATATCTTATGGATATCCAATTTATGTCCAAATCAAGTCGGAATATCCTTGGACCTATTTTGGATATCCATAAGATATCCAAAAACTGGATATTCTCCCGGAAACCTATTTTGGACATCCATAAGATATTCAAAACAGATAACCATAAGATATCCAAAATTGAATATCCATAAGATATCCAAAAACTGGATATTCTCCCGAGGACATATTTTTGACATNTCCATGCTACTGATTTCAAAACGAGTTTGTGTTAGTATATCATTTTTCTAATGGATTTTGTTTGTGCTGAATAATATGCAGACTAATATTATTTTGTACTGAAGAATATAGACTGATATTTTTGGATAAGTTTTTTTTTGAAAAACCTGAACCTTCATATAAAAGATGGTTTATAATGTTGAAAATCATAAAATGATTTCTTAGGCAGCTACAGCTCCTTAAAAATTTAGTTGAATAGTTAAATTTTTTATATTAGGAATCATTGAATATGTTCATTACAAATTATTTACACTAATTCTTTTCTATTCAGTTGCTCTACAAATTATGGTATACTAGGTCCTCGAAAAACAAATGAACCATTATATTTTTTTAACTATTTTATATCTCCAATATTGAAGTAATATGTTTGCGTTATTCAATACTATATAGAATACTGAGCTATTCAATACTATATAGAATACTGAGCTTGTTGAACTGACAGTTTAAATGAAATGTTAACACAAATACACTTGAATCAACATTATATATTGTTCTTTTTAACTGCTGCTGATAGCAGATATTTATATATGAGCTTTTCGTACTAAAATTTACTGTCGAATAACATCCCAAAATGTTTTAATCTACTATTAGGAAACACTCGTCACCTATTGTCCCACACATGTCGACCAAAATCAATTATAACAATATAAAATATACACGTCCATGAAGGATATCTTATAAATGTCCACGGAGAACATCTCATGAACGTCCGTAATGGATATCTTATGGACTTAACCCACGAATACCCTATGGATGTCCATGGCAGATATCTTAAAGACGTCCTTTGCGGATATATTATGGACGTCTTTCACGGATATATTATGGACATCTTTCACGGATATATTATGGACGTCTTTCACAGATATCTTATGGACGTCCAAGTTGGTGGACTGAGGATATCTTATGGATGTCCATGAGATATCCTTTGGATATAAATTGGATATATAATGGATATCCATCGTACATCCATAAGATATCCGTTGTTGTATGGGTATGTGCGTATATGGACACGCCTGAAGAAGCTAATATAGCAAAACACGGGTTGACTTTTTGTAAAACTGTTCAGTAAAAATCTCACAATAAAGTGTTTCTTGAATAGACAAATAGAGCAATGAACAAATCGTTAGTACTCTATGTTCATGCAATAAATATGACACAACTATCTAGGCCGGTAGTGAGAACCCAAATAAGTAATATTTCCCACGCCTATTCAAAATATGGAGTCCAGTCACTTGACATTGACAGCTGGTATCATTCACACGGGCACTTTGGAGGATTCAATTTGCCGCAAATTTTGGAATAACAGCTTACGGCTATTGCTCATCCATTTACAATTTATGCAATTTATCCATTTTATAATTGTTAAAAAAAACTAAAACCCAAAAAACATATCATGTATTATGAATTCATTAGGTGAATTTATCTTTAGTTAGGTTAGTTTGCAGGTAAGATTTTGTCTTCATTAATAAACATCTATGTTGCTGAGTCAAAGTATACATGCTAGGAGTTAGCTGTTTACAGACGCTGGTCCTAATTTTCAGTTTGTTTCTTTCATCTTTGTAAATGGTTAATTTTTGATGTTTCTTCCTTTGGAATTGAAGAAAACAGTTGAGGACCCATTGCTATTTTAGAGCAGATTTGTTCATTTACTTTTCAATCTACACATGCTAAATCATTGATAAAAAATAAGAAGAATAGAGTTAAAAACATATAGGTTAGGTATATGCTAAACTTTGAAGAGCGTTATCAATAATAATATTTGAAAATTAATTTTATGTATTTATCAGGGTTGGTGGAAGTTACTTATTTCCCAGAAGTGAATAATAATCATCTGTTGAAACAAAACTGTTGCAGAGATGTTTTACAGATAATCATCACTTAATGTGTAGACTACCTACCCAAATTTTGCAATGAATAGTTTTTCTGTACCAGAATCTGTGTTCGCCAGATTGAAGTGTCACATTTGTAAAGGATATTTATCAGTTTCACCAGTTTCAGGATCCCAAGGTGAATACATTTCCTTTTATTTTAAAATATTTCATCTCCATGTTTTTCCCTGGGTAAATCAACAACTAAAAATGTGCTGACGTTAACCCAATTTGTGCTGAATGCCTTGGAATAAAAGTTTCACGTTGATGTAATTCACACAGATTTTTTCAAGGCATTGAATACAGATAATCATACAGTATTGCTCGGGAAACTTGAAGCGATAGGGTTTCACGAAAATTTATTGTACTAGTTTGAAAGCTATCTTCGAGATAGAAATCATTATGTAAAAAAGTCAAAAGAGCTTCACATCGGAGTAGATTTATGTCACGTCAGGACTGCCATAAGAAAGCCACCTAGGCCCCCTCTTGTTTTATATCTTTATCAATGATTTTGAAGGAATAATAACAATCTTTATTTGAAATAATCAAACGTTTAAAATGTTTTGCTTTCCTCAGATGATCTTGAAATCTTTTAGTACTGTCATAACAAACGACACTGTGAGAATGTTTAAAAGGACCTCATCTCAATTGTCGAAAGTTGCTTCCAAAACTACAAACTAAATGAAAGAAATGTTATTTATTTTTATTGTTCCCTTGAATAAATAAATAAATAGAAGATGCTCTCAACTGAAAACACACTGAGAGAAGTTCACACTATAACATAAATAGAGAACTGAGAACTCGTAGAATTTATGTAGACATTAGATTTCTACATAAGACTTTGAACTCTCATGTTAATTGTCATTACCTATGATCTTTTATTGGTCTAAACATTCTAGCCAGAGTAATTCGAAACACTCAGATGTTTGCAATTTCTTTCCATAGATGCAATTTTTTCAATGCTAATGTTTATTTATAAATACTTGATATAAGTTTATAAAATTTAGGTTCATTTCATCTCTTTGTTGCAAGTAAGATATGTTACTCCTCATTTTCCAATTCACTGCCCTGTCTTTCTCCTCTCATGTTTGCTTTCTTGCATCAAAATTGTTGATACCCAGATTCAAGATAATTGAAATGAATTTTTACAGTACATATCTAGATATATTTTTTATTTTAGGTAGGTACACCTGTGGGCGTTGTGAGCCGTCCAAATATACCAACCAGCTTTATGAAGAATTAGCCAAACATTTGTCTTTTCCATGTATTCACGAGAGTTGTACAAAAAAACTAACTTGGGATGAAGTTGCAAACCACGAGATGGTGTGTCCTCATAAACCTATCACATGTCCAATTCCAGACTGTTCATTCAAAATGGAATCTAGAATGGTCTCCTCTCATTTTAAAATATTACACGAGAACTTGAGGCATACTGACAACATCAAAGCAGTTGTTGGGATCCTAAAAAATATAGCGGTTCCACTTGAAACCGTTTATTGCGTCGATTTCAGAGAAACTTGCTACCTTGTATTTGTTAGATTGAATAATAGTATTGACGGTAATTCTGTGAGGTATCGCTTGAAAATGGGAGTGTTCTCTTTAAGTGAAAGTTACAACCAAAACATAAAGTACCGGGTCAGTCTTGAGCTACAGTCTTCTAAGGAGACAACGAGAGTGGATAAGCAGCAACTGTCTATTCCAACATATAAAGACCAACTTCACTGTTTTCAATGCCTCAATAAAGAATGTACCAGAAAAGGTCACAGAAATGCTGGTGATTTTTTTACAGCAAAATTTACTGGATTAGATTCTAGCAATAACATGTGCGTTACTTTTTCTGTAAAGCTATATGATACCACAGAAGTAAACCTTGATAAAAAACTGCATTCCAATAACGCCGGCATTGCTGTTAAATTAGAGTGTCCAATTTGCAGTATTTACATGTGTGCCCCTATCTTCAATTGCCCTAAAGGGCATTCCGTCTGTAGCAGTTGCAGGAAATCGATCAAAAATTGTCCATTGTGCAAATCTATAATGGGAGAGTCCAGGAATTATATATTGGAGGAAATTTCGGAATCGGTTGAAATACCCTGCCACAATGCAGAATTGGGTTGTCAGTTTTCCGGATTAGTCAGAGATACAATAGAACATGAAAATAATTGCTCAATTCATTGTGGGGGTTTTTAACTTTGAATATGTAATTTATTAGGTTAAAGAGAAAGTTATTCAGGTAGATGTTTTGTTAAGTATTGAATAGAGACAAAATATACTCACAGACAAAAATATTGCATATTTTATTTCAAGCCTTGATTTCAAGTTTATTTATGTTTGTCTGAATCTTTATGCAGTTTCCATTACTAGATGGTATATGCTGAAGTATGAAAGTTCTTTGAGGCAACATAATAATAGTTCAGTACTTAGTGTTTCCTCCCCTAGCAATAACGATATCCTGTATACTTCGCAAAAGGTCTTTGATGGTTTCTTGTGAAATTCGATTCCATTGCAGCAATTCTAAATTCTGCAATTGAGTTATGAGCTGGATTTAGTGCTCGTATGTCTTTTTAGGATGTCCCAAATATGTTCTATGGGATTTGTGTCAGGACTGTTTGGTGGCCACTCCGCTGCTTCAATTCCAACAACTTCAAGATACTGAGTGACTGTTCTTGCAGCATGTGCACGAACATTAGCACGAAATTGTGGTAACAAATGAAGCCGCCTTAAGGTAAAACGTGCTCTTCAAAGATGTTGCGTATGTAACAGTCAGCATTCATTCTTAAATTCACCTCTATAAGCTTGGTGCGACTGTCCCAACTAATGCCACCCCACAACATAATGGAACCACCACCAAAGGTAATGTTATGTACAAGATTACATTCTGCGAAACATTCTCCAGATCTTCTGTATACTCGACCACGTCCATCTGGTTTCCATAACTGTATTCTTGTTTCATCTGTGAAAAGAATTTTTCCCCACTGATGTACATTCCAGTTGACATGGCTATGAGAAATTGTAACCATCTAGATCTGTGATGTGGGAGAAGCCTAGGAACTATGACAGAACGTTTTGGGTTTAAACCAACTTCTTTGAGTCTTTTTATTACTGTTACTTATGTGAACTTATCTTGTGCTCAGTAAATAATTTCTGTGATGCGAAGCTGTAAGCGAGCGATTTGGCAAAGATTAAATTTTCAAATATTGTTCATCTCTGGGTGTTGTACATCTATTACATCCATGACTTCATAATACGAGAAACAGTCAATTGATGGATTTGCAATGTCTGCATCCCTCATTGACTGAAATAACAATTTTAACACAAACTAATTTGCTCAAATGCGACAACTCACTAAGAAAACTACAGAATCAAAACATAAAGGACTCGAAATGTCATTCTGACAACAAACAAAATAATGGACATTGATAGTGTCATAGGCACACATTCAAAGTTTGTAATTAGTACCATTATTTCTTATTCAGGTATAGCAACTATGTCCAAGTATTTTTTATCTATACTGAATAGAAATTTACATAAAATACTTTGGCCTTTGAACATTTATCAATATAAATTAAAAATGTGTTGAGGGAACAAAATTAATATGAAAAAAAATCTTGAACTATAATATGCAATATTTTTTACTGAGAGTGTATATTCTAATGTTGAAGACTGCAAGACTTGACTCATGAATTGAAGATTACTAAGGAAAATTATTCTTCCTTGCTCTATGAATAATTCATTGAAATATTTACATCATGGTGACTTTGGTATTTGCTGGGAGTTATTTTGAAATTAGTTAATAATTCAAAAAACACTGATATTTTCCCTAAACAGTTTTACAAAAATGCAACACGTGTTTCGCCATACAATGGTTTCTTCAGGCGTGTCTATACTATATTACACTATTCTGAAAATAAAGACAAAAGGCAAGGTAGAAGTGGAAATTGAGATAGAAAAAGTTCAACTAGAAAACAAGGAAAATGAAGGGAACCATTAAAAAAAAAAAGGAAAACTACTAAACACAGAATTTTTTCCAGAAAGAATATATTACATTTATGTGAACGGTTATTTCAAATAAGTGAATTGAACAGTTAAGAATGGAAGGTGACTATGGTTTTTTATTTTCCATTATAATTGTAAAATGTAGCTATTGCCCTGAAGTTCTTTACGAATGTTTCAAGCTGATATAAAAAAACCAATCGTTCATCAGAATGGGGAATGATAAAAATACTTGAAACCGCCATCTTTTTTGACATTCAAAATAAGCTGACATTGAAAATAGCTATTTAAAAAACAAACTGAAGAAATTCAAATCTTTAGATTTTTGGGAAAGTTTTTGGCTTTCTACTACTCCATAGATGTGTAGATCATGCAAAAAAGTAACTTTCAAACCCAAAAACACAAGAAAAACCCCTTTCGAAATAGCTATTTTCATATAAACCTTGAATTATACGAAAAAAAACACTTTCAAAATAAATACTTTTATATAAAAGCTGAATTATATGAAAAACACATTTCTCTATTCCGTTTGTATTCCAAACATTTTTAATGGATTCAAAGCAGATATCATTCACAGGATTCCTTACATGGAACACTGTCACCCTCACTGCTAGACTTCCTATGTTCTGCCGTAAGACACTTGCCCTATCGGCTCTTCAGTGGGAAATATGGATAACATGAGAGAAAACACTCAATTCGTTCATAATTACGACTTTTTTGTCGCGGAATTGGTTGAATCCACCCATGTCATGAACGAATTGAGTGTCTTATGGCGAAACATCGGATGTCTAGCAGTGAGGATGACAGTGTTCCATGTAAGTGAAATTTTACTTTTCATTAATTATATTGTGTAGAAATCCTGTGAATGATATCTGATTCGATCCCATTCGAATGTTTGGAATACAAACGGAATAGAGAAATGTGTTCTTTGTATAATTCAGCGTTCATATAAAAGTATTTGTTTCGGAAGTATTTTTCTTTCGTGTAATTCAATGTTTATATGAAAGTAGCTGTTTTGACTAGGCTTTTTCTTCCAGTTTGTGTCTGAAAGGTACTTCTTTGCATGATCTACATACACATCTTTGTATAGAATTACTTTTTTGAAATGATTGCTTACTTTCCTTCTAAGGAAGGTTTCCACATTTTTGGCATCAAGATGGCTAAGGCCAAAAAACTTTCTTTTCCAAAAATTAATCTGTCCTAAAAATAATCCCTTTTAATTTTTAGATTTTTCTTCATCAAGTGTACTCAGAATGTTTCCCAATGGCTTTGTACTAGACACTCAATTGTGCTACTACTCTTCTTTACCTGTAGATTGTTTCACTCAATTTTCCAATATCAGGTATTTATAGGTAGTTACAAAAGAAAATTTCAGGGCACGGAAGTGAAATCTTATACCCTCCTTATATACAATGTATTTTTAAAATCAGTGCGTTTCCAAACTATTTTGTTGAATGGCAAGTATTCATTTAATGTTAGGATGAGCAGTATTGAATTGTGATAGTTTTTAAAAATATATAACATTGAGAGTATTTTCGTATATTTTTCATATTGGAATATTATGATAAATAGACAACATATTGTATGAAGCAGTAATAAAATCATTATTATAATAAAAGAAATTTTTATTTCACAAATAACAACATAAAACATATTTTCTTGTATTGTTGATTTGTAGGTGTCAAACCTGTAATAATGATAATAATCAATATATTATGAGTTAGTAGTTCGTTTCTTGCTTCAGAATCTCTGAAATTTTTCTTCTGATATTCGTGAAGGTAGGTCGTTCCTTGAAGTGATCATTCAATATGTCATTTTGAACATAACTACGAATACAAGATGGACACCATGAGGCAATTTCCAACTTTATTTCCCTAAAATAAATAATTTCAATTATGGGAAGAAAAGGTAACATCTAAATCTATATAATCTTATTCAAGATGTTTCATAATATCTTGCTAATTAAGATTACTTTTGGGTACATTATGTGAAAAAAAAATATACAAGGTTTAACATAAGTACGTTAAAATATTCAAGTGACGTATTCCTGAGGCAAAAAATCGATCTAAAAGCAAACAGCCAAGGATTGAGAAAACCGCACGTCAAGTTATTTTGAATTATAATGTTCGCTTGCTGGTCTAGACTTGAAAACGTCTCTTGAAACATATAAAACACAAATGTGCAACATTTTTTTATGGGACCTGCAATATTATGCTGTTCTCCTGTTTCACTATTGTACAATGGCGTCCAGACTTGTTACAGTGGAGTTACAATGAATTATGAATTGATGAGTTCTAATGATAACTTGCATACATGTACCCAATTCCCACATTTTGTCACAGTTATTGGATTTTGTTTACAATAAAAAAAGTTCTTGGTGATTAATGAAGCTGGAAATAAGTTTAATGACAGACTTTTAAAGTCAGCATAAATAAAACGTAAATTCGACATTATTTGGGGAGTAAACACTTTTGAAGTAATATTTTTATTAAGGATATGTGAAAGTTTATTTTATGGAAAAATCCCTAAATTGAGCTCCTCTAAGATCAATAATGTTGATAAGTCTTCCGTTTGTGTAAAATTAACATACCTATCAAAACATAATGGTAATAACCGAATCACATCCATCTTTGGTGGTAAATCAAACATTTTTGTCATGCTGTCAATTATAGTGGCATAAACTTGACATATAAATATTCCCATAGCCCACACATCAGATTTGGTGGTGAATGTTTTTGTTAGTCTCACTTCTGGTGACAAATGATAACCTCCAAGGTTCTAGAAAATTTAAATGTCTTAGAAAAAGTGATATAGGAAAAACGTCAAATTCAGATGATCAAAAGAGCTGTCCAAAAATATCTGCAACTCCGAGGAATTAATGCCAAAAATATTTACATAGTCTGCAAACACGAATAGTAATAATGACATTGGGAAGCAAAGTTTACAGGCTATAAATTTCAAGTGAACTGGAGGTGTGATATACAATTGTTGAAGCAACTGTTCGTCATTCATCCATAGAAACTACAAGTGTTGAACATCCAACAAATGAATTTTTAATGGATAATGAAAAAGAACCTGCATCATTTAGATAAAAACTGGCTTTTCAAAAAGTGCTATAATGTACAAAAAAATTCAAAAATGATATCGCACCCTTGCTTCAATAGTGTCACAACTCAAAAAAAAACTTTCCGCCGCTGATAATCATTATTCTGGGTTTGAAAGTCTTGACAAAATGTGAGATAGTCCTTCAAAATCTAATTTCAGACGTTATTTGGTATCCTTCCCTATTTGATATTCCGTAACCGTGAAAATTAGCTGATTTTCCAGGTTATAACGGTTTTCATGATTAATCCATGCATTGGACGCTTCAATATTTTGAGTTGTTACGGTATTGATGAAAATATTTTGACATGTCACTCTCTTGATAACAAAAAACACAAGCTGCAGTGAGTACTGCGTTTTATTTTGAGTTGATACCTTATTGTAGATTCGATCTTGCTTTACAATAAAAAAAGTGAAAAATTGGGGAAAAAAGAAGAAAAATTTCAAACGTAAAAAAACTCTTGTTTAATAATGGAAATTATACCTTCTTGTATTTAATAAGTAAATCACAATTCTTAATTACCTTTTTTAACATTAGTAGAGGCAAGACTATCCCAGATTTATAATCTGATCTCAAANGATAAACTCTCTGGAGGTCTGAGCCCTCAAATAGTGGGATTCGATGCGAGGGATCGAATTTATGAATTGGCGGACACTTTCCTTGATTTCTGGGTCAACTGTTGGATGATTATTGTGTTTCCCGCGTCGATATTCGGCGCGGGACTGCATTCTCAAAAAAATCCTGTAGGGGATTTTTTTGAGAATGCAGGCTGTATTGTTCGAGCATTTATGTCAAGAGTGGCCATGAAAAATTGTTTGCAAACTCTCATGCGGACGTTATGCACGTCGAAATAGAAGGCTCTCTTCCTGGCACGGAAGTTTTGAGTGCTGGAGTATCTGTATTTTGGTTTTATTTCGTCACTGTATGATATGATGAACTCCCTCTGCCGCTGGACATCGCCTAAACTCCAAAATCCAGAAAAAAGCTGTTGACGAACTTCTTCCTTTATTTTTTCCCAGCATTTTAAACGGCATTTTTATCCACAAGATGTTCGGATTTTCCTGGCGCTGACTGAACGTTTGGATTTGTAAGAGACTTATCCAAGACCGCTATTTCGAAGGGTTTTTGTTTTCTTCATAACCCAGTTGTCTGGGTTGCATGGCCGCTTTTTTCCTTTCTTCTGCCTCATTTCATCTTCTTCATGACTACAATTTTCAGGGGAAGTTGAATCAGGGTTTCTGGGAAATTCCAGAGGTGAAGAATGTCTTGAGTCTGAACTTTCAGCACCATTGTCGGATTCATGCCAATCACTGTCGTCACTGACGTTCGGGTTTTCATCATTAACCTGCTCGACGTCATTGCTATCTCAAGCTGAAGGATCGTTTCCATCTTGATTGTGAATTTTAGTGAGGCGAATGATGGTTGGAGTTTCTTTGACGACTACAACTGAATAAGAAGGTCCTTCAATAGGGTCATAGTTTTTATCAGCAGTATCGCAAACAGTCCCACCTGTAGAGTACCCTTCAACTTCGACAAGTTCTGGATCGAATACTCCATCCGTGTTTATAACGATTTCTGCTTGTGTTATGAGGTCTTCAAATTATGGGTTTACATTTGAAGCAGTAGTGGTTGGCAGAGTCTGAATTGTTGAGAAGACGTCATCGTTGTTTGAAAAAACAGGAATCTTGTCTGAAGGTAAGGACTCCAGACTCTAGAGGTGGTGGGGAAAAGTTGGCTGTATCCACTACATTTCGTTCCCGAACAAGAGGCGTTTTCTGTTCAAGGAGGTCTAATATTTCTGCTGCTCGTGTGTTAAGATTCATTCTGAAAAATCGTCAATAGTGCAACTTTTAGACTTGGCTGGATGAAAAGCTGCTTTTTCAATCACCAATAGTGTAACATTTTGACTTACCTGTATGAAAGTCTGCTTTTTCAATCACCAATAGAGTTACAATTAGAAAAAATACATCGAAAATTAGGAACTTTAGTCATCAAGAACGTTACAACTCAAAATAACACGTCAACTGAGCCAATCGATACGCGTTATCTCATCAAGATCTACTGTCACAACTGAAGATTTGACTCTATAGACGAGTGGTGGGGATAGCAAGTGAATCGTCTACACCGATTCAACTGCTACCTGGCGGCCACTGAACTCCCACAAGTTAGAACGGTTTTTTGAGATTGATAGAGCTTTTTTTTCTGGATCCAGTGATGCCAATAACTCAAAATTGTCATATTTTGAGTTGTAACACTATTGAAGCAAGAGTGTGATATATTTAACCAATGGTGACACAATTTTAATTCAATTGTAACACAGAAAAATTCGGGGGGTTTTAGGGGTTCAATAACTCCCTAAAATTTTTATGGGCTGAACAAATTCAGTGGTTTCATATGAAAAAGATGTTCGATTTTCATTCCGTACTTTCCAAGTGCTATAACTTTTTTTGTGTACACATTTGCATGAATGTTAGTTATAACCAATCAAGTTAGTTTTGCCCCAGAATATGTAGATCGATTTTTGACCACTTTTTTTCATTAAATCCTGTATAAATAGAAATTGAATCAATAATATTTTTTTTCGACACTGTTGCCTGATTGAATATTTAATGATAACGCGCATTTATCGCTTTATCAATATCTGTAATAAAAAGACAGGTCCGTATTTAAAAAAAAATGATGGTGGCCATGTTGACACGAAACGTTTTATCGAATACTTATTATTACATCGTCATAGTACAAACTCCAGTTAAGAATACCATATCGCAGGTGACAGTTGATGTTTGCATAATAAACGATTAATGGTATGTTTTCGTGACAATGATTTGATAAGAACTAGTACAGTTCGAATACAATAACATTTTCTTTTTCCATTTTTTGATATTCTCCGAAATAACAATTCCATTCGAAAAAAAAACGAAAAACAGCATTTTTAGTTTTCCCCGTATAACTCGAGAAGGGCGAGAGTCCCGTAAATTTTCTTCGACCATTGTATTGTTCCCGATGACAGTTACCTTTTTTTCCATTTAGTCGTCTTCGCATCTGTTACGGTTTAGAATATAGCAATAATGTTACCACTTGATAAAAGAAACTGCCTGTATACTGTAACCATTGCAGTGTGATTTAGATATTGTGAATTATTTTAAACAAAATTATTGAATCTGGACGTCAATAGTAATATCTCCGTGGTTTATCTCACAGAAAAAACATGGCAAGTAAATAATTTTAGTAATCGGCTCAGAAATCTTACTTCATCTTCATAGCTTCCGTCAGAATCGCCAACATAGACACAAAATCCGAAATCACCAATTTTACATTCCAATCTTGAGTTGACAAAAATGTTCCTGGCGGTTAAATCCCTATGAATGAATTTTTTATCAGCAATATACTCCATGCCACAGGCTACATCTTGGAATATATTCAAGAGATGTTTTGTGTATCGACCCGGAACCTGAAATAATAATCAGTTACAAATTTATCATTATTTTTTAAGATAATAATACTTTCATTATTTACCATTTCTACAAAAGTTGCGACTGGGGATATAATTATTATAAGGTAATGTAACATGAGACAATACATACAATGTTCGAGGAGAATAAATAATAATAATAATAATAATAGAGGTTCCTGACACAAGGTGCAGGGCCTGCCGCGAGGCGCCCGAGACCCTAATGCACTTGCTATCAGCATGTCCAGCATATGCGGTCTCGGACCTCATATACATACGTACACACAAATATACATATACATACACACAAGTGAAGACCTAGACCTAGACGATCAAAAAGTGTCTTCAGTAGGTGATTATTGGGTCACCTTGTAATGTTGTAATTTTAATCTTATTCTTCTTCCTACCTGCTTTGACATATTTATTATACGCTGTCTGTTCAGAATACAAAGTAATTTTTTTTAATATTTATTCATTGATCAATTTCTATTTTGTTTCCTTTCAAAGTAGTCCCTCTCAAATATACTACACTTGTGCCAGCGTCTTTTCCAGCCCTCGAAACAATTGTGGTATGAATCTAAAGAAATGAACTTTAAACATTCAATCCAGTCTCGAATTTACCTACACAGTAGGTGGAATAAACTGACGCATATCAGAAAACAACTTCTCCCCTGGCTAATACCACGAAGGGCGTTGGATTATATCCGACAGGCGTTAGTGCAGGAAACTTCACAGAAAATTTCCTGCATATGCAATTGGCAATACAACTGAAAGAGTCGACCTTCAATTTTGGAACGGGCACACTTGCAGACCGGTCACATTTCGGATATGCAGTTGGTTAGTACCTCGTCCACTAGATGGAGTGACATTTTGTTGTTTCGCTCCAACTTAGGAAGAAGAATGAAATAATCTGAAAGAATTCTGATTTTCAATTATGGAATATCATTGACTTTACGTCGATGATGGCCACTATTATTATTATTATTACTCTTTATAAGCAAATAATGCTCTTCTAAATGCTCTTTTAAAAACAAGAAATTAAAAAACAAGACGAATTATTGATGACTATTACTTGAAAAATATTCACTACATTTTCTTTTGAATGAATTTAATGAATCACAGCTTTTTATATGACGTGGCAAATTATTAAATGCAATCAGACCAGAACTATACAACAAGTCACAACCTATATGTTCTCTGTTGATATAAAAATTTCCTATTATATTTCTAGAGGAGTGTGTATGAATACTACTTGTGTAGGTTAACTGATCACTCAGATAATTTGGCAACATATTGTGTTTAATTTTGAATTTAAATATTAGCATATTCAGTGTTATCCTTTGTTTAGCAGACATAAGAGACAGTGTTTCCAATATGTTTTCCACAGATGTGCGTTTATTACAACTTAATATTGCCCTCATGAATCTGTTTTGAAGCTTCTGTAGTCTGTTTAGATTTTCATTGCTCACAAAATAGAGTAATAGATCACCAAGTAATCATTTTCAAGAGGAAGATTGAACTGAGTACTACGATACAGATTTGAGCATTTACTTTATTTTTTGAACAGCCCGCGTAAACTTATATTGAAAAATAATAATTACGTTCATGATGAAATTGAAAAGAATTTTAATTACTTCCAGAACTTTAGTGATGTCTCCCAAATCCATTAACTCAAGAACAATTTTCATAGGATTTTTCTGGAATCTTAAAAGTTTGACTACATTTTTGTGAACCAGTTGTGATAAAACTTCAGCTTCATTTTGTATCATATAGTTGTATTCCTCCTTGAGAGTACTCTTGATAGCAACTTTTTCAGATGATCCATCAGGGTTTCTCATAATCCCTTTAGTAATGATGCCAAAAGCTCCCCGACCTACACAATTTTAAGGCAAATAAATGTTGATTTAATTTCTCTCCTATATCACAATCACTTACCAATAACAGAGTTTCCGTCTAGTTTCAAATTCTTACTTGTAAGTTCTATCAACTGCCTTGGTATAAAACGTTCTGTAAATGAAAACAGGAACACAGTAAATATTGATGACTTTCCCAAAATAATTGAAAAATGTAAGAAAAAGTTATGGGAAAAGTAAAAGAAAAAACTTTTTCTGTTAGTTTTCTAGCCTAGCAGAGCGAAATCACGTGACCAAGAGGTACATGTACTCCAGTTAAGAATACCATATCGCAGGTGACAGTTGATGTTTGCATAATAAACGATTAATGGTATGTTTTCGTGACAATGATTTGATAAGAACTTTAACGCATAACAATGTTTTCTTAACTTTTCACAAAGTATATCGACATCTGGTTCCTAGCACAATTTATTGCCGATTATTAGTCCAAGCAACTTAGTCGTTTCACTTGCATATACATTCATGTCATTGTTCTAAAACATTTGAAACTGTTCCATAGTTCCCCTCAAAGTAAATTTCATCAAAGAGGTTTTAGATACATTTACTGTTAGAAGATTTATTTCGGACCACTACATTACTTTATTGTATACCATTTCTGATGTTATCACAAGTTCAGTAGTATCTTCACCAGTTATGAGTAGATTTGTATCATCAGCATATGATATTACTTGGACTTTAGAGATGTCAAGAAGGAAATTAATGAGATCATTAGCATAGATTAAAAATAACAAAGGTCCAAGAATTGANTGGCCAACTCCCGCCAAAACGGTCATCTCCCACGGAACCACTGAAGCGGACTGAAGATGACTATAAATAGTCATCCCTCGGAGGAATCAGTCCAGTCATCACACGAAGACGATTGTAGATACTAACAATCGAAACGTCGTGAACTAACGTGACTTGGAATCTCGCCACTTTTTATTTTCATTTTCTTTTTTCTTTTCTTTATTTTCATTTATTCAAATGTTCTATTTTTACTTGTATTTCATTTCACTATTATTTCATTTCAGGTTTATTTTGGTTAATATAATTCTTATTTTCAGCTATTCATTTTTTAATTTCTTCTTTTTTAGTTGTTTCAGGGATTTCAAATCATTTTTATATATTAGACAATGGAAGTCCGAACTACTGAAATTCATCATGAAACATTGTCAATCACCTTCAAACTGCCATGTGGTTTTTGCCGAAGGCTACAAAAGTTACTGGTGATCCGGGCAAAAACCAAATTTTGCAAAAAAAATCTTTGTTATTTTGTAAGACTCCAAATTGGTTGGTAATCTGCATATAGAATATAATCTGTGAATTTGTGTGTCAAAAAACATCAACATCATCTGTTAAGTGGGAAAGAACATTGTTTCATCACTTCAAACTGAGAATACTCCTTCAATCGAAAATAGATTTGTTCTGAAGATTTTTTGGATGATTAAAATTCTGTTTGAAATCTGTTTTTCCGTTAATCAGCTGTATCACCCCTATGAACGACAACCCTCAGAAGTGGAAACGTGTGCGAGCCAAGGATTAACGAGGTCTTACCTTTTAACGTGTGATTCCTAACAAGGGTTGGACGATAGCAAGTGAAAATCGATTGTTCAGACTAGGGCTTGAACCACCGACCAACACGGCGGTCAATTCGAGTTAGTGAACAAAGCACCCACGTCGAACCGCCTGACTACCGACCGACCATTGAATTAAACTTTTGATTGGTGGCAAATAATTCCCAAAAGAAAATGCAGAGAATGAATCTGAAGGTCTGTTAATTGGGAGAGAATATGATTTCATCTCTCCAAACTGAGAATAGATTTATTGAAGCAAATTTGTTCCTCCGAAAAATATAAATACGACTAAAAATATAATATATTGCATATAATTTAATAATTACTATCACATTAACCACTGTCGAGGTTAAGTGGAAGAACAGGTTATTTTTATCGCCCTCAGATGAAAGTAAACTGAACTTCGCCTTTTAGTTTCCTATCCATTTAAAAAAATATAATTGCTAGGACTTTTTGATAGAAGTGGCAACGCCGCAATGCTGAAAATATTTTAGATCAATAGAACAGATAAGGAAATGTGAGAGGTGAAAGTTTCAGAAAAATCATGCTTTGCGTTTTCCAGAAACGTCTAACCTACCATCGACCGTGAGTCACGATGTATATGGACGTCCCGTTTAGAGTTGAAAAAAAATGGGTCAGTTTAGGTATACCTCGCCGTTAAGTCTTTCTGGCAGGAATACCGGTCCAATTAGGAAGTCACCGACAATTCTCACCCAAAATTTTAACCCTTCAAGCACCATATGTGGATTTTAACAAACATGGTTATTCCTTATGGTATTTCTTGAGAAACTGGCTTCATTGGTAAAAAGAATAAGCGTCAGTAGTTGAGGGATTTGAATGTCTCCAGCCGTTTGCAGTTATAGGAATGTTGGTGATAGGTACCAACGGAATTGCTAGATTTTTTATTACTTGTTAGGTCCAGTGTAGAACGCTATACTTTCATTTCGGCTACGTTAATCAAAGGACAAAATATCCTTAGAATGTGATTATGATGCACTGTTTGGAACCTTTGGTGTAGTAATGAATATTACTGGAGTTTTTTCCCAACACCAAATCGTTATTTTTAACACCTTGACACGTGTTTCGATCACCAAGTGATCATCTTCAAAGAGTTTCAATCGTCCTCTTCAAGAGGAAGATTGAACTCACATCTTTCTTTTGAAGATGATCACTTGTTGATTGAAACACGTGTCGAAGTGTTAAAAATAACGATTTGGTGTTGAGAAAAAACTCCAGTAATATTTCTTAGAATGTAATCCAAGGAACACTCCTTTAAATTTTTTTCGCATGTTTAATAAACATCCTGTGTATGAAGACCTTGAAAAAGTTCTGGGCTCTTAAAAACCCACAATAAAAATTAATTCCAGCTGTCTTATGATGTAGTTCGAAATACATGTTATATGGGATGTGGGTATCAAATTCATAGGATTAGGTCACCATTAGGTGACCTATTCTGCAATACTTTCGTATGATGAACTCACCTCTAAATTTCACAGATGTAACTTCGAGATCTTCCAAGCTGAAATGTTCCATAATTCCCAGAAAGTTTTCTAATATTTTGAAAACAGTGTTCCTAAAACCAAAAAGTATTACCACATATATGTAGATGAAAAACTAGTCATATTTCTTGTGGGGATAACTTACTTCTTTTCTATGTCGGTTTTTGTGGCAGTCAGTACAGACTTCATTGCAAACAATGTATCTCTATCTTGACTTGATTTCAATTTCTGTACTAATTTCTCGATAGCATTGAGACGTGTATATTCTTCAGAATGAGGTTGCGCGGCCTGTTCCAAAATGACTTCACTGTTGTTTGATGTCATGTTTGAACTTTGAGCCTTCCTGTTTTTTCTTTTCCTGTTCTGAAAATAGGAATTTTTCTATTACCAAACTGAATATCGTGTATTGTTGTTGCTGTGGGATTATTTGCTGTCTTCTGATTAAGTGTTCCTCAATTGGGATCTTCAGAAGTACCAAAACTGTTAATTTTCATTGTTCATTTTTTGTAGATAGGATCTAGTGATTTTGTTTAAGTCAGTGTGATATGCTGCTATAAAGACTGAAAATCTGGTTGCCCTTTCATGTTCGTAGACAACATTAAGAAGCTGGGTTTATTTGGTCGAGTGTGAATAGGTGTGGGCCACAATAAAACCTTGCTGGTTGCGGTGCAGGGTCGAATATACCTACTCACTTTAGACCTGACCTGACCTGACCTAACAGGTGAAAATTGAAACCTTAATTGGAATTTGAGAAGAATTTGAATACTAGTTAGAACTGATTCACCGTATCAATAATTCATCATTCATGCATTGCATGCATCAATGCATGTATCATTGAGGTCACTAGTACTTTCAGGTCCACTCATAAATTATCAAACAACTCGGAATCAACGAGATTCCTAGTACTCTAGTTGGACCACAAACTCTCTTTTAACAGAAAAGTTGAACCAGCTGTACTTTGCATCTATTTCTCTCAAATATAACTTTCACACGCACCATTCAATAAAGCTGTATTATTGCCTCTTTGAAACGTTTAATAAATTTGTCTTTCGAAACAGGTATAATACCTTCCCAGTGGAAAAATGCAATTATCACACCCACTCATAAATCTAGTGATTACAAAGCCCCTAGCAATTATATACCCATCTCAGTTATAAACAACTTTGCAAAAATATTCGAAAAGTGTTTGAAACATCTTTTGATGAAATGTTTTACCAAGCATAAGTGTATCACAGAGAAACAGTATAGATTTCAGAAAAATCGAGCACAGAGGATGCAATTACGGATCTAACTAAAAATATTTTCGGAGGCTTGGATAAGTCAAGAAAATGTCTTGCGGTATTTCTTGACTTGGCCAAAGCTTTCGACACTGTGTTGCACAATATTTAACTTGAACGTCTCAATAAAGTTGGCATACGTGTCACAGCACTAAATCTATAAAAAAATTATTTACGAAACAGAACACAGCAAGTAAAAATTGAAGAGTCTGTGTGATTCACTGAAAATCACAATCGGTGTTCCACAGGGTTCATTGCTGGGTCCAATATTGTTTCTCGTGTATATTAACAACATTGCTGATCTAAATAACTTTCGTGATCACATAGTATCATATGGGAAAAGATATATGAATGTACTAAATTAAGCCTCTCTCACATCCACAGTTGGTTGAATCACAGCCCATTAACAGTAAATTTTCAGGAGAGTAATTTTATCACCTTCTCTCTAACTGGTAAAGACCAAACTACAGAACGATATATTTCAGTACACAGTTATTCTTGTGATGAAATATGCCTCAGAGGTTGTCCACAGATTGAAAAAATTAATCTTAGTGTGATAGTGGATTAACACCTAAGGTGGGATGAATATGCATTATATGTATCAAAGAAATTACGGCAACCAATACATAAGTTTTATTCACTACGTGATATTCTCAGCAGGAAAAACCTTTCCATAATTTATAACTCATTAGCTGAGTCAATGTTAAGATATTGCAAACTACTCAAAATTGTTTGCTAAGAATACTCTTCAAAAAGGACAGATTATATAATACAAAAAGTTTGTATAAGGAATCCTTGCAACTAAATCTCAAAAACTTATTTGCATATTATTGCCTTATATATACCTACCGTAAAACAAAGCCCATTGTTAATCCGCTTGAACATTATGTTACCCGATTCATAGAAAACAAATCTATTGACTTGCCGATTTTCAAGAAAAGTCACTTACAAAGATTTGTTTTCTTCATTGGCCCTAAACTATATAATTCACTACCATTATGTGTGAAAGAATTGAGAAGCAAGAGAGCTTTCAAAAGTAAAGTAAATGAGCTCATAGAGTCAAATGAAATTAACGTTAATCTTTATCTATAATTTTAGAAAACAATTGAATACATATTTTACAAATATTAATAATCACTATTATGATGTTATTTTGAAAATAATGTTCAGCTGATGATACCTATAATTTTAAATAACTATCAAATATTCATCTCATAAAAACTTTTGTACCTCTTTGCTTTTCATCTGAAATCAATATTTACTGATTACTCGTCTGATTCATAAACTGTATAAACTCAAGGCATATTTTCTGGATGATCATTAAAAAGTGCAAAACACAAGCATGCTATGCTTAGTTTGTATTCGAAGCAACACAATGATTGTTAGGTACTTATTCGCAAATGAATGATATATCGAGTGGTCCAACGAAAAGTATGCACCTTGCTTTTCTCCTTTTTTTGTAACTTAACGCNCACAGGTAGAAAAATACATCTAAAATGTGTCCCCCTCAAAAGCAAAATTGACCTGTCCGAGCATTTTTGCGTTAAGTTACAAAAAAAGGAGAAAAGCAAGGTGCATACTTTTCGTTGGACCACTCTGTATGTACTAAATGTAATAACTCCTAATGGAAATTTATTGTGTGATATTCTCTTCAGATGAATAAACGAATTTGAATTTGAAATTCGTTATATACCAGTTCATCAGCAGCAACATTACTGTGTGGGAAGAGCCGCAGAAACATCTAGAATTTTCATAACACTAAATTAATTAGCCTTCATTCATTAAAACAATATCTTAACGATAACATCTATCTATCCCTATAAGTCATTAATTTACACTCATTTTGAATATGATACTAAACAGAGTAATAACTGCCAACTCCATCACATGCAAAGAATACAACCAGGGCCGTCACCATGGGGGGAACTTCCCCCCCTGCTTTTTCGACTTGGGAAAAAGTTGGGAAATTTTGGGCCGTGAAGATATAAAAAAAATAATAGTAAAAAAATGAATGAAAATTAAAAAAATAAAAATGAGAGAAAATTATCTATGTCTGTAATTTTTAATTTACTTTAATTATTAAGTTTAATAATCCTAAGATTTGCCTACGCCCATGGACGACAACGAAATTCAGGCAAATTTTATGACACTTCATGATTTATTACTCTACACTCTTTTGAAATAGACTATAGAGAAGTTGCTGAGGATGTCGGCATATCAGTTGGCTCAAGCAATGAAGCGTATGGAAGCGAAGTTCGTTCCAAAATTGCTGAATTTTGACGAAAAAAAAGTCACATGAGCATCGCTTAGGAATTGTTGAATGACGTCTACGGTGATCCAGATTTGGCGTAGTGCATCAGGAGTTTTTACCACATGGACGTAAGGTCTTGAAGATGCGCGCCGCAATTCGAAGAAAACGTCTGCTATTGTGGAAAAACAATTAATTAGTAACGTTTGCATCACTCGTCTTTGCTTGTTTGATTTTTCGGCCAAAAACAACACCGCAATCATGCCTCAGCCACCGTATTCACCAGATTTGTCCCCCTGCGACTCTTTCCTGTTACCGAGATTTAAGAGACCCATGAAAGTATGGCTTTGCCACAATTGAGGAGATGCAAACTGAATTGCTGGGAGCGCTCAAGGACATACCATAACTTCTTCTAGTATTGGGAAAAACGTCAGCATAAGTTTCTTATTAGTCAGTGGGTTATGCTTGAAAACTGGCAGTAAACAAATCTAAAGAAATGAACTTTACTTTCAAGTCATTCTCGAATAATCCTACACAGTAGGTTGAATGGACTGATGCCTATCAGAAAACAACTACTCCCCTGGCTAGTACCACGAAGGGCGTTGGATTATATCCGACAGGCATCAGTGCAAGAATCTCTACAGAAAATTTCCTGCATATGCAATTGGCAATACAACTGAAAGAGTCGACCTTCAATTTTGGAACGGGCACACTTGCAGACCGGTTTTGGGCTCATTAGCCACTCATCAGTGCAAGATAGTGGGCATCATCGACCTGAAGTCAATGATATTTCATAATTGAAAATCGGAATTCTTTCAGAGTATTTTATTTCTCTTCCTAAGTTGGAGCGAACAACAAAATGTCACTTCATCTAGTGGACGAGGTACTAAACAATTGCATATCCGAAATTTGCCCGATTCCTCTGAATAAGGAAAAAAACTTTCTTATTAGTCAGTGGGCTATGCTTGAAACAAATCTAAAGAAATGAACTTTAAACGTTCAAGCCAGTCCTATACAGAAGGTTGAATGGGCTGACGCCTATCAGAAAACAACTTCTCCCCTGGCTAATACCACAAAGGGTGACGATTCTTGCACTGACGCCTGTCGGATATAATCCAACGCCCTTCGTCGTGGTATTAGCCAGGAGAGTAGTTATTTTCTGATAGGCGTCAGTCCATTCAACCTACTGTGTAGGTATATTCGAGACTGGCTTTAACGTTTAAAGTTAATTTTAGATTTTTTGGCATAAGTTATTTATATCTGAGGGGGACTACTTTGAAGGGCACAAAATAGAAATTGTTCAATTAATATTTTTTGAGAAAAAGGAAAATTTACCTTATTTTTTGAACAGACCTCGTATTTCCAACTTCTCCGCTAATAATCCGCTCCGCTAATATTATCTTGTGTATATACATTTATATATTTTCATTTCCCTTTTTGTGATATCTTTTTGAAACGTTTTTCACTTTCAATATGCATTTCATAACTTATTTAATGTTGTAAAATAACCACAAGAGTATCTATCTATCCATTTACCATGTACGTGGCAAAGATGAATGTTAAAACCGGAAAAAGATCTGATTCAGTAAATAAAAATATTTTCAGTAGAGCACAGAAAATTCAAAAGTTAATAAAGCATGGCTTCCCAACATGATATGTCATTATATAGATCCGTTAGAGTTAATCTGTCCAATAGTTAAAAAGCTGTGAGTACGGCACCAGTTGTAGATACATACAGTCTTCAAGAATCTCAAACTAATCATGGTCAACAAATACTATAAAACTATAGAAAGATGATCGTGACAGCCACGCCCAATTTTAACTCAATATCAATTTGTAACACAATGGAGAAAATGGAATCAAAGTTTTATCCTAAAAGTCCAATTCATTGACTTTTAAAAGTATCCCCTTTATATTGATGCTACATAATTATATTGAGTCAGTATGAAACATATCAGTGATAGGACATAATTACTTCTGATTAAATAAAATGAAAAATGTATTAGGGAGAAGCTTTTATAACATCCATCTTGTTACAACTTTTTATGTAAATTTGTAACTTACCAGACGTTGCTTTTTATTTTTTCCAGCCATTCTATTTATTCTGAAAATCAAGATTTCACTGTATTCTCTGAATATTATTATAACAGTTTTATATACAAATCCATCATCAAGTGATAAATCGTTATATAGAGTGGGGGACAACACAGAAGGGGAATTCCCCAACTGTTCCATATGTTTTTCATATGTGATGGAATCAGCTGATATCTGAAAGAACACTTTATTGTGAGATATTCACTGAACAGTTTTACACTGAACAGTCTAAAAATCTCCTGAAAAGAAATATTTGATTATTAAAAAGTTCCAGTAATTTTCATCTTGATGTAATAAATACTACCAAAGGAAAGAATAGTCCGCTTTCAAATTATTTAGAATTTTTTAAAACGGTTCGTATAATTTTCAAAAACATAAAAAAAAAATTGTAAATGTTGTTAACTCAGACATTTCTATGAACTTCTCTATACCAGCATAATTTCTGTCTGGGAGTTCTGTTCCAAATAAATAAAATATTATGGTGTAACGGGCATTAAGATAAAATGGTTTCAAAAATAGCTATTAAAAAGGATACAATGTACCAAAATTGACAGTGTTTTTTTAGATAAAAGGAACGTTAATTCAGGTGTCCTGCAATGTAGTATTTTGGGACCTTTCTAATTCATTTTATATTTAAATGATATAAACTCTATTCAAAATTGTGAGTTCCTGAATCACTTTACTGATGATATAGTGGTAATTGGTAGTGATGAGTTTTTGCAAAGCTGTTAAAAATAATAACTACACATCAATATACATGTACCACTTTCCTATCATCAATGAACTCAGGTTGAATATCAATGAGACCAAAGTCATAATTATCACAACACCTTACAGATTTAACCTGATTCAATGAAAAATCTATAGAAATTGTGTAAAGCTATCTTAGATATTGACAAAACATCAACTTACCTACATATAAAAAAGAAGTTGACTATTTTGAGAGTATATATCTAAATAAAATTGTTGGATGGCAATAATGCTTCCACTGAGCAAACTTGCTATGGAAGAAACCTAAGAAATATAGCATTACATGTTATTTTATTTATAATGTGGTCAATAAAAACATCTGTTACTATTTCTCAGTAGTCAACAGCTTTAAAGATAATCACTTTTGAGCGATCTTTTTGAGACACTATAAGAAATATTGATATAGATAGACTATAATGAAATATCATCTTGTATGGGTTCTTGAAATCATGGGATAAGATGTGACAATTATATGTAGATGAAGCATATGAAATGTGTTTATGATAATGAAAATTATATAAAGTATTTGGAAAAACATGTTCTTCAATTTTCCTTTCTTAGATAGTGTAAAACTGTGATGCAAGGACTATAAAGAAATCTGGGTAATATTGCATATCCAAAACTGGAACTGGACATACATTTACAGCATTCATATAGGTACAAAACCAAATTTTGGGTTGGAAGGCAGGTTGCAGGAAATACAGACTCAAATTCTTTCATAATGTGTACTCACTAATACTCACTTCCAATCAAATTTTTGAGGACATAGGGTGACCACATACATTATTGAACCAGTTCTTGATTTAAACAAACTTATAAAAACTAAAGACGAAATTATTTCAAAATCATTCCCATATTGATTTCAATTTAAAAGCCTGTTGGGCATCGTCATGGAATTATTTTCCAGCAGCTTGACTGCATTAACCTTTCTCAAATATATATGGGACGCTACATTCGGCCTTGTCTATGCCTCAATATCAGTGACTTGGAAAATTATCAAAAAATCTTCATCGGTACTTCAAACTACCTGATAAAACAATAATAATGCATTACTCACGGAAAAATTATTATCAGCTAAATTAGGAACAAAGGAAACACATTCTCTATGTACTTCACAGAAAACGCTACGATAAGGAATGTCAATTTCACAGAAAACAAAAACATTTCAAGTTTCTAGGTGCATTCGAGTAGACGCCTGACTGGAGCGCTAACGGCGTACCCTGAATGACTTAAATAATATTTCTTTTGAGATCCGGAGCAAGAACTGAAGCTTTCGTTTTGGGTCGGACCACGCTCCGTGTTCTTCGTTAGGAACGGAGGGTAACAAAATATTCACTAGATTTCAGTTTTACTTCACTTATAAATGTAAATGAACTCCATAACAAATGAAGAAGCTATAAATAGTCCATTATACAATATTATCTTGTGTATATACATTTATATATTTTCATTTCCCTTTTTGTGATATCTTTTTGAAACGTTTTTCACTTTCAATATGCATTTCATAACAATAATGTTATGAGATGATTCATAGTACTATGGGTAAGCATTTTTTATCTGTGATGTAAAGTATTCTAAAAACACTTTATTGTGAGATTTTCACTAGACAGTTTCACAAAACGCAACACGTTTCGCCATACAATGGCTTCCTCTGGCGTGTTTTACACGCCAGATGAATGAAATTTGAAATTTTCAAAAATTCATCATGCATCGGCTTATCCTACGATCTCTGTGACTTTTATGTGAACCTTTGCAGCTCTTTCAGAGTTCGCTTCCAGACAGTTCCGATAACCAGATCTGTCGAAGCTTGTGCTGATACTTGCCGCGGAGAGGGTTATTCACTAAAGTTAACTCTTTTAAGTGGAATTGTTCCACCCCTAGGTGAGTAAATACGTCTACCTGGCATCCAAATGGTGCAGGATACTTCCGTCTACGAGTTGCATATCATCCGCGTAATTTCCGCATCGTCCTCTTTTGAGATGGCCCAATGCACATTTGACTATCCCGGGGGTGCCACAGTTTTACCCTCGGGTATTTCTGAGCACAACGGATAATGTGAAAGTGAGATGCAGAAAGATGTGGAGTTCGGAAATCTCCCTGAAATATCCTCATCGCAAGGGATCCGGTCTGTTTGGACTCGATCCTGACCAGGTGTTATGGTGGAGCGAGTCCTCCAGAGAGTATCTCACTATTTTGTCGGGTAACACAAGGCATCTGAGCAAATGACCTCACGCTGGGGATAAACTCATACGATATCTTGCCCTTAGGATTTTGAGCGGAAAAGCCTGTAGCATTTAGTTTGTCTTACTTTAATTTTCTATAATTTTTGACATAAATCCAAGAGAAGTCAGCTCATACAAGACACCATTCGAACACTTTTGTGTATGGTTAGTTGCCAGCTCCCAATTAATGCGGAATTTAAAATATCTCACCTTCCATTTGTCCGATAACGGAGGTGTATTCAATTCGATTGGTAAAACCAAGCACGATTCTTTTCAAGGATAAACTTCAGTTCGATATTTTTTTCCTGTGAAGGCAGATGTGCCAAGGCGGTTGTGAAGGGACACAGTTTCTGGATTTGAATTTTTCTTCCTGTTGAAGTTGATAATTGCCCTTCCTGAATTGAGTAGAATAATATTCTGGCTATTTTGTAAACTAGCCTTGGAAATTCCAGTTTTTTGCTTAATCAAACCACGAGGATCCCGGTTATTGATAGATAAACCATTGCCTACCCTCTAAAGAGGGTAGGCAATGCATTCGTATAGCAATGCACTCTTCCGAGTGCATTGCCATACGAATTGAGAATCATTGCTAAGTCTGCCACTGCTAGCATCCTCATAAGTGATAATGCTACCTCACTTTTGAGTAATTAGAGTTATTCAAGGGCTTTTTATGATTATACTTTTGATAGTCTACAGTATGAGCAGTATCATCTCACTTTCTGAACAAGTAAAGGGTTGCATACGTGAAATATGTAAAATGCCTGCTCAATATGGTATTATATTTTTGGAAGGTTAATATTCGATGTTTCGGAATCGTTTGATACTGCGAAGGATCTAACTTGTACATGGTCGTTACTGAAAAATAGTCCAAAACTGAATATTCACTAAATCATCGTAAAATTTGAAATTGTCTAAATCGTCGAAACATAATTGACAGACATAATAACCAGAGCTTTTTTTATTAATACACACAGAGATATAAAAAATCCTCAACTGCAGTAAGTGCTTGGTGAAGAAGTTCGGTTATACTTTACTTCAGAGTCGGAATACAAATCTGTAAAACTACAAAATGGTTTCTAGTCAATCATTCGTAAATTCATCAGATCAAATTATCATTTAAAGTCCATGTGTGATTAAGGTCAAGAAGTCTGTCGCCAAGCGTCGCCGCAATTACTGAATACATTGAGTGCGAATCATGAAGATCTTCGAGTTCTGTATTGAAAATAGATTAAGGTTGACGGCGAATATTTAGAAATACAACTTTATTTCAGAAAACGTTACATATTCAACTCTATATAAAATCTGACTATAAAACATAACAACTACTATTCAGCTTTTTCACAAACATGACATGATTAATTGCTAATTCTTACAAGAATAAACTGATGAAACATTTATAACTGGATATTTAGTATATGGTTTTCACCACTCTCATTATAGTTTCAATTTTTTTCTGAACATTTTTGAGATGAATTACTTTGATAAAACATAATGAAAAAAATAAATGTTTTGTGGTAAACATGAACATTAACATCTGTCAACCTTCCATATAAGGACATGACATAACTCAAGAAATATTTGAGAGATAGATGTCAAATATTGCGCATGCAAATTGAATTTTTTGAGGCCAGTTGGTCTGAGTGCAACAGTCTTATCACAGGCTCTTATGATCCATATTGATATCATTACCTATATGGCTCGAAACCCAGGTAATCCAGGCATATCGTACAATGAACCTTTTTCCTGACTTATGATGCACTGTTTGAAACCTTTGGTGTAGTAATGAATATTACTGGTGTTTTTTTCCCAACACCAAATCGTTATTTTTAACACCTCGACACGTGTTTCGATCACCAAGTGATCATCTTCAATGGGGAAGATTAAAACTAGAAACTAGTGCGAGGTAATCATATTTATGCTATAAAGATAACCCATACAGGTAAACCATCCAGGCGTACCAACCATACAGGTATACCAACCTATATTAATTTTACAATTTTGCCTTATCTATTATTTTACAGTATAGGTTTATATAAAACAATTTTCAGCTATATAAAAATTAATTTCTCAATATTGCTTATCCAAAATTAATTTTGCAATGTGTCCTCATGTATTAATCAGTAACCCAAATGTTTACATGTGAATAGTTTATGTTTGTCCCTACTACTAGTGCTGCCTCTCGTAACACATTCGCTGTACTATTCTCAGGAAAAAAGCTCATTAACGATAGGTACGTTCCGAAAATAGTGATTTTTCGGTACGTGAAACCACAATGGTGACTTTTTCAACATATCCTGAGAAAGCGAAGACACAGGAAAGATGCATAGAAACTCTGGTGTTTTAACAAATTCGGTTTTGTTTCGTCAAAAAATCTCGACGCGAGAAATAAAATTGACCCAACTTTTACGCATGTTGATGGATGGAGCAAAAATCGAAATCTGTGACTCATATTTCATTCGAATCTTCAATTCGTGGACCATAACTTGAAAAGTCACTCCTAATATCAATTTATTCCCACATGTACCTCTGTTATTGGAAGGCTGAAACTTATAGGATGTCTTTATATCATTATTTCTGTATCTATAGTGCTGTACGTCAAGAGTTTTTGACAAAATATTTTACAGGGAGAATGGGTTCGAGTGTTCACACCAGAGCTATTTTATGTATCTCTTGGACAAAAGTATAAACTTCAGAGTCCACTTTGGCAACACTGCGGATAAATGTTAAGTTCAAGGTCTTTTAGGATGTGTAGTTTTCCCGCAGATTTCCGTATTTTGTATTTTGTTATACGTATTAACTGTAGATATGGTAATAGTCATTGGTATAAGCTAGATAAGATAATTTACTTTTTATCATTAGTCCGAGGTAAATATATATAATCCAATATAAAGTATAGAGTTTAGAATATTTCATTGATTTGAGTAATACTATTTGTTAAAGATGTGTTAATCTTTGGAACAGTGAGTTTTTCATTTTTTCTTCATTTATTATTTTTCTTGAATCTACATACTTTTTGTCATTTCTCTCTATGAAATTCTCTATTTGTAACTTCACAAAAAGAAGTAATGAGGACTTAACATGTCTTATTGACCTGTGTACTAAAGTGAGAAATAACTAGGGATGTGTTTATAAATATCAGATGTCAGTTAAGGGATGTAACCTAATGATAATACCAAATTTTCGATAAAAATATACTTTGACAACACTTTCCTGAAGCCACCTTTCGCCAAAACTAAAATAATCTAAAGGAACTTTAGATTATCTCCTACAAACGAACTGGGTCTAGAAACTGTTTTGCTGTTAGGAAAAAGTATATTTATTAGTCATTATAAAGGTGGATTTATGCAAGCCACCTCAACTTATGACATGTTAGTAAAAGACTATTTATGCAACAATACCTAAGAACTAAAATTAATAACTAGTAACTGAGACTATACCTAAAAAAAACCTATACTATACCTGTTAATATTTCAATTTGGTGCATGCTCATATTCGTTTTAACCTAAGCTTGTAGTTTCACCAACCAAGTTGACATCTTCAGGAAATGGAGTCAGTTTTCTTCAGATTTTGGAATTACTTGAAAACGTTATGGATTTTTATCAAGTATCGGCCAATTCCATTACATATAGTAACATTGTACTTATTTTCAGATCTTCAGCATTTTTGACATTTCATTTCATTACTGGAATTCACAGAACAATTTTATTTGATTTCATCGCAGAGCTATCACGTTACTTAATCTATTTTTTTGTATGTGCAGCGCCCAGCCTAGATATCTTTATATCTTTGAACACTTTTGGCTAATGGTTGATTAGTAGATGTGCATGCTTTCAAATTGCCTTTGACAATTGACAACTCAGTTGAAGAAGTTAATGAATTAAATTGGTTAATAAGTATGTTATTCATCAATTCCTTGAAGATAAAATGCATTTAGGTGAAAGCAAGTTCTTATTCATCTGGGGTAACTTGATAATAGAAATCCAGAGAGTAAAAAAATCTGAAAATATAATTTGTGAAAGTTTCCAACTTCAAAACTTTGTACACCTATTTTTCCCAGTTGTGGGGTGGAAATTCCTGATTCCCTTTCTTGATGCCAGGGAAAGGTAGGCAAAGAACCTACCTGCATATTTCAAGATTCTAGGTTCAATAACTTCGGCTGTACGTTGATATAAAAGCATGAAGCAGCTAGACTTTTACATTTTCAATTTTGAATCACATTAACTAAAAAAATATGACAACTGCACTAAGTAATAGCGTCGAGAATCAAATTATGTTACCTATAAAGAAATTCACAAAACTAACACAACCGTCAAAGACGTCTGCCCGCTTTCATTGTAAAAACAGTATCCAATTCAATTGTATTTATGGCTTAGTATTTTGCATAAAGTGGCTACCACATAAGAGGTGGATATATGTTATCGCAGACTTTTATTTAGAACTATACGTACATTATCTGCATGTAACACCACTCATCATTATATTACAAAATCATACAAAACCATTGTAAATTGTAGCCTATATGTTATTCTGATGTATAAGCTGTATTTATGTAAAGTTTCATCTAAATCCATTCAGTCGGTTAGGCATTAAAGAGTCACACACATACATACATACATCCTCAAAAACTTTCACATTTCTGTACCTCTGAGGTAAACTATTGTAACTGACATTTTGCAAATTTTACAGGAGAGCAGTTGTAACTCAAGTTACTTGAATTTACCTCTATCATATCATGACAAATACATTGAATTCACATTGGCTATGACGCCATTCATTAGCTGTGCAGATACGACAACTATCCACTCAAGAATATAACATCGATAATGCAGTTACATCAATAACCCCAAAATCGAGAATTTTGTAGTTACGACAGTTTACCTCTCAGGTACAGATTAATAGTAGTATAGTATAGATTATCAATTATTGAATAGGTCTATAAGTTCTTAAATTATATTGATGTTTCGTAGATTGAAGACACATAGTTGAGAGATGGCTCTACCAACACCTTCACAGTTGGGCTTATCAAAATCATCACTAGGAAACCTCAAGTGCAGTTTATGTTCAGGGTTTTTATCTGTTCCACCAATATGTTTTGCAGGCCATAAATATACATGTGGACGCTGTAGTTCTACAGGAAATAGAGTAACAATATATGAGGAATTAGCAAAATACATGATATTTCCTTGTATTCATGAAAAATGTAATGTACAAGTTCCGTGGGGCCAAGTGGAGAATCATGAATTGGCCTGCCCACATAAAGAAATACGCTGCCCCTTTGGATCGTGTAAAACTTATTTTAAAGTGAAGACAGTAATTCAGCATGTTGAGGATTGTCATAAAATATGTTTACACACAAATGAACTCACTATACCAAGAAGACTGAGAGATATTCCTTTGAAAAATTTCAATGCTGACAGAAAAGTATTTTTACTTGTTAAAAATAATGTGCCTTTCATAGGAATGGCTTACATAAATTGCACTTTGAATAATAAAAAAGCTATCAAAGGCTATGAACTAGCTTTTGGTGTATATTCCTTTAAAAACAATGTGGGTTCAATGACTGATGCAACGTATCAAGTGGAGCTAATGGTCAAAAATAGTAATCAAGATGTTAATTATATCTGGGAATATCAAGAAATTAAGCTATTTAATGAAAAGCTCCACTGTTTTGATTGTTTCACCGGAAACTGTAAACTTCCTCATCATAGTAATGACAAGAAAAACTTTTTAACAAGTCGATTGGATAATATAGACAAAGTTGGTGATATGAATGTAACGTATACCATTAAAATTGAAACAAAAAAGCGCCCACAGGAAAAGTTGTTACCTCATTCCTCTGGGAAACAAACAGAGGTTTATAAAGTAATATGCTCCTTTTGCAGAGATATCATGTGTGCTCCTATTTTTGTATGTGGGTGTGGCCAAAGTCTATGTTGTTCAAGTTGTAAGCATAAATCATTGAGTTGTCCTTTTTGTAGGGAAAAATTGGGTCAAACTAGAAACCTTGTTGTTGAGAAAATTACTGAAGTTTTACAAATATCATGTCAAAATATAGCTAAGGGATGTAAGTACACTGGCACAGTAAAAAGTACTAAACAGCATATTATTAATTGTAAATATAACTTTCTGTGATACGGATCGAATACTTCAATTGTTCTTCATTGTTACCTTGACCTTTTCCAAGTTTGTATTGATTTTATTTGTAGAGATTCTCATATATTTTGGGAATATGTTGAATATTTAGAAATAAATAATTATATAAGTCCTTGATTTTTATTTAATTGATAAACAAACAATATCTTTTCTATGCAAAAAATATACTTGTGATGCACTGTTTGGAACCTTTGGTGTAGTAATGAGATTTATCCCAACACCTCGACACATGTTTCGATCATCAAGAGATATCTTTAATAGGAAGTTCTAATCTTCCAGTAATATTCATGCAGGCGGGTTGGCTGACCTTGTTCATCTTCCACTGCCTGATCCACTGTGCATGCTGTTTTTGGCTTGGGATGTGGGGGCTGAGCAAACCGGCCATCAGATGCCTGCTTCCACGTAGCCCCGCTGGATACGGGAATGACAGAATCACTTGTGTTTCTGTTATTCCCTAACTGAATGGCATCCCAACGATGGCTCAATCCTAAGGTGTGTGTATCCGTGCCAAGAGGATGAATGACACTGAGAATATCAGCTGTCTCTACGGAACCTTCGAGATACCTTATTTCCTTAGCTACTCGTGGGACTTTTATGGACAGAGTAAACTTAAAAATTCTGACACTGAGTCTATAAAGGAGATGGATGTCGAGCTTACGACTCCAACTGATCTTCCTATAAAATTTAATCCAGGACCGATTCCACAGAGGAGGTGGATGTCGAATTTACGACTCCAACGGGCCTCCCTGTAAATTCAGTTCAGGAGCGAGAGCTGCGGCGTACGTAGAATCTGTCTCAGGTGGAGAAACTAACTCCCCATGAGCAGGTTAGCAAACGTTTGCACTCAAGTGAGGTTTCACCAAAACCAGAGGCGAAAGAGCCTTGCTCGGCTGAATCTAAGGCATCGTCAGGTGTAGCTGACGTGTAAAAATCCTCATATAGGAAGGTTTTCGTGGGTATCAAGGTGGAAATCTTGCAACTTGACTATCCGACTACCTCATCAACAGAGCATATTTACTTTGTGCCTGCCCCGCTGGGAACCGACTAGAGTTCGGCAGAGCCGAGCTCTCACCATCTGACCTGAAAGACCACTCACCATAGAAACTAATCGGCTTCGTTTGTTTGGCCGAGTGAGAATAGGTGTGAGCCACAATAAACCCTTGCGGGTTGCTGTGGAGGGTCGAATAGACCCACTCACTTTGGACCTAACCTAACCTATATTCATGCAAAAAACATGTTGAGCCCAATTTTTGTAATGGCATTTTGAGTTCTGGATGTTCATCATATGTGATTGATCATTCATTCGTATTATCATTTATTCATGTGGAAGAATCTGTATCTTAAAAAATCACTAAGAAGTTGTTGATGTAATTTTTGTATGACTACTGAAAAAAAGCATAAATTATGTGACCATTTCTTGTTAGGTAGGAAAACGCTGATCCCTTTTATGAATTCAATGGCATTACTCTCATTTGGAGTATCCTTCACAAATAAATGTTATTTTGAAATATTCCTGGTATACGTCACAGAAAAAGTATAGTATTCTACTCGCGAGAAATGGTTATTATTCGCTGGAATGATTAGGGATGTTGTAAATATTCGCAATTGCGGATACTTCGCATCGATTTGTACATGACACATGCAGATGTGGTACAGGTCTCAATAAGAAATAATCCTCTAGCAGCGAAGATTTCGTTCGGTGACAAGTTCCGATGCGTATTTATTGTATATTATTTGTTTTTCGTAAATGAGTCATTACGTGTTTAGTTAGTTGATACGAAACAACTAGAACTGGGATATCTGGCTTGGTCAGAAAGCCAAGCTAAAAGAACGATTTCGCTATGATGTTGGATTCGTCAAGCGAAGATGAGAGTCTAGAAACATAGGAAAATGGTAGCCCTGAAACTGAGCTCAAAAAACAATTGATTACTTAACGTAGTGAAAAACAGGGTAAATGTAGACAAAAAATCATCCTAATTGGTGTAGCGTTCACGGAGAAGAATTTAATTTATCACCGATAGCATGTAGACTTTTATTGGCACCGTCAGCTCGTGTTCCTAGCGAATAATCATTCACTGGCACGGGTTTGAATTAGGAACCTCTGCACAACAGGTTAGACCCCGAAAAGGCAGCAAAGTTACTTTTTATCCAGTACAATACTCCAAATTTTAATTATTGTTATTATTAATAAAAATATTAAAGAATTACTACCTTATTATTTTATTTCGCCATCCATAGTCATTCATCGGTCCGTCTGAACCCGATTTCTTTTGCGTCGGTTAAAACCTTATTTCGAAAAAACAGGTTTTCGTGCGATTGTCAGTGTTGTTCTTCAGTGTTCTCTTCCTTGCGAGGCTCCTGCGCTCTTTTAGCCAAAGTCTTTTCTACCATCGCTTTGGAGTAGCCGTTCCGTTGAAGATCATTTTTGATGTCTAGTTCCTTCTCGAGACCTTCCTTCGTATTACAGAGCCCAAAAGCACGGTCTAATAGAGAGAAGCCGTCACAATCAGTGCTTGCACTTCCCTACATCAGAAGATTATCGGAGAGGATAAGAAGAATTGGTTCCAAGTACAACATCAGAACCTGTTTCAGATCCAGTAACACTATCCGTAGCAGCCTCACGAAAACCAGGCCACCAAACGCGGACTGCGATTTCAAGAATTGCATTTACCGGATACTCTGTGAGTGCGGAAAATCCTATATTGGTGAAACTAAGAGGCCACTGAATGTTCGCATTGCCGAGCACAAGAAGCACACACAGCGAGGAGAAACCAGCAAATCAGGAATAGCAGACCATGTTTGGACTCATCAACACAACATCGAGTGGTCCCAAGCTGAGATCTTGCACAGAGAGGAACATTGGTTTAGGAGAAAATTCAAGCAAGCCGCATACATGTTGTCCAACAACGTATTCAGCCAGGCCAGCGTAGAAATACGCAACATATGGAAACTCATCATCAAGCGAAAAATGGCCAACTCCCACGGAACCAGTGAAGCGGAAAATGTAACGCAGGGATAAGTGAAAGTATTCGAACGACCTATAAATACTCATCTCTCGGAGGAATCAGTCCAGTCATCACCCGAAGACGATTGTAGATACTAACAATCAAAACGTCGTGAACTAACGTGACTTGGAATCTCTACACTTTTTATTTTTATTTTCTTTTTTCATTCCTTTATTTTTATTTTGTTTTTATTTATTCAATTGTTATAGTTTTACTTGTAGTTTATTTCACTATTATTTCATTTCAGGTTTATTTTGTTTAATATAATTGTTATTTTCAGCTAATCATTTTTAATTATTCTTTTTTAGTTGTTTCAGGGATTTCAAATCATTTTATATAGTAGACAATGGCAGTCCGAACTAGTGAAATTCATCATGAAACATTGTCAATCACCTTCAAACAAATGGGATATATCTTATTTTATTGCCACGACATGTGAACTTATGTTCAAATTGTGTATATTTGTTTTCTACATTTTTTGAAAAACTATTTTATCTACAAACTTTGTTAACTTTTATTTCTCATTGTTATATTTTATCTATTAGATATCTGAACTCATTTTTGCTCAAATTGTGTTTCTGGGTATTTGTGTTTTTGAGTTGTTTCTTTTCTTTTATTCTTTGAAGTGCACACACCAGATTTTAACAAGCTTTGTCAATAAGATTGTATTTTCTTGGAAAAGAAAGTATGTGTCTATCTATCTATCATTGCAGCCGGATATTCAGCCGCCGAATAAACGGCAGAACGTTGCCATCTGGTGCAACGCAAGAAACACGCTTGCGTAGGCGGCGCGCCAACGATTGATTGTAGTGCGTAAATCTTTCAACACCTTGCAGCAGTGCGTTCAGCGAAAGGTTTTTTTTCTGAAGCTGGCCTTATTTACGAAGACAAGCGAAATCGCTTGCTACCTCCTAATGCAGAAATATTAATATTCATTCACCATAATTTGCCCTCAGTGCAGTATGAGTGCATTTCTTGAGTGACACTAACTAAATAAAGTAATTCATTGACAACAAATATTTTGTTGAATCCGGTATTCGGGCCGCCTAATAGTTACCGGATATTAAAATCTGCTTTCAGTAATATTCATTTGTTGCTCTCTACAAAAAACTCTGAACTTTTCACATACAATGGTTCTCGAAATTTTGGTGAAAAGAAATTGACTTGAAATCTTTCCTTCACTATAAATGAACGAAACATTTATAATTTATTTCAGACTATGTAACTTCCTAGCAGTCACAACAAGTATCAATATTAATTTTAAAATAGGTGAGTACCTACCTATGTAATGACAACACAAAACATAAATTTTATTTTACCCTTCAAAAAAGTTCATTATGTAGAACAAAAACCAACGCAATTGCAACCTTTCTTCATCACGCTTGCCTGAATTTATTTCGTCAGTCAATAGTTTTAATCCAAATCCTAAGACATAATTTAAATAATACGGTGTGAAGGGCTATCGTAATTCAAGCATGAAATGCTTGAATTAACTAAAATACTTAATTTGATAAGGATTAATATCGTATCTGTCTGAATCACCAATTATTACATTATGTGTGACCATTACTTCAAAAACTCAAAGTAAGCTATCATTAAAAGATAGACATATGCCATCGTGGACTTTTGTGTAGATATATTAAATAAGAACAATATGTAATGAGCCGCTCCGACTTCGTGCGAATAACATAGTTATATTCCAACCAATTTACACAAAACACCAATGAATTCATACGCGTAAATCTTCCTCTTAAATCACTCCGTCCAGCATAGGACTTTGTTTTACAATATGTAATGATCTGTCTAAAATATGTTTTTCTGTTAACCAGCTATTGCACTTCTATATATAAATCCTTTTATTTAGTCAAAGACTAATAATACAGGTCAGTGAGTAACAATTTTAAAAGAAATCAATAAAATCTAAAAATAAAATTGATTTGTCACTTGTAGATTGTCATAAAGCAATAAAGTATATATAAATACATATACACACTCATACATACAAAATTGTTAATTACTAATAATTTACATCTCGTCTCAAATATATTAGCATAAAATCTTGTGAATACATAAAAAATAAAATTAATGTCATCATATATAAAAAG